TATTGTTTTGAGTAGAAATTTAAACACATTGTATTGAATAAGCATAGAGTAAATCAATATGTATCTTTGTCTCTGGATAATAGTTTAAATTGTCTTCCATTTAGTTTCATTATTTTATAAGTATATCATATGTAGCATTCATTAATTTGAGTTATGATCCTTGAATTCCTAAAATCTTGCTTTTATCATGAAAAGATATATTTTGGTGAAAGTAATCTCAGTTCCACCTACTCCTCATTCTGTGTGGTTATCTTCAATTGATACATATATGAGTCAGGAGAGCTGATAGTCATCAGTCCTGAGGGGGAGAAATGGAAGATAATTAGATGGAAATCCTCTAAAAGTCAACAAAAGATATCTGCTTGCTTCACCTTGGGGCTGCTTCTGCTTTGCAATGCCCACTCTTACTAACAGTGCATTTTTTTCCTACAGTAAATCCTGTGTTATACTTTTCAGTGTCTGTGTCTTGTTTTAATTCTTTGCTGTGAAAGCAGGTGAACTATCTGGTAAGATAGCTTTCCTTATCTTCTGCAGTGCTGGTTTAATGTTCATGAACTACTTTGGTTTGCGATGGTCTCAAAAGCTTATCTTATTTTGATTTCACTATCATTTTTAAAGATAGATTTGCTGAGTATAGTAACCATTGTTGGCGGTTTATTCTCTGGGTTAGAAACAAACAAATTTTCTGTCTTTGGGGATCACCATTGAGATATTTAATGATATTCTGAGTTTGTCCTTTTAAGTGGATGTTATGCTAAATTTGTAAGCATAATATCTTTATTCTATAGACATAACATTTCAAGTATAATGTGATGTGAAGAAGTTCTTTACTTACCATGTCTATTTGGTATCTTAAATGCTTTCTGGAAGTACATGTCTGAGTCGGTGCCTTACTTTGGGAAGTTTTGTGTACATATTCTGTATGTCTTTAATTTGTATCTTACCTCCTCCTACTCCAACAATACTTAGATTTTGTCTCTTAATCATTGATAATATTTTCCATGATGGCTTTTCTTGGCTGGAGTTCAAAACAGGGTTTATCTGTGTAGCTTGGAGTCTCTCCTGGAACTCTCTGTAGACGAGGCAGGCCTCAGACTCACAGGGATCTGTCTGCCTCTGCCTCCCAAGTGCTGGGATTAGAGGCGTACACCACCACCGCCTGGCAAAAGTTTTAAATTTTATACACAAAATTACATCGGCATTTAAACTTTATATGTTTGTTCCATATATTTCATTTTTCTCTCTTTTTTCAGTATTACTTAATTAAATTTATCTTTAAATTTATTTATGATATTAATTATATTACTATGTTACTCTTTTTATATAATTTATTTAACTTTATTTTATGTGCTTTGGTGTAAAGGTGTCAGGTCCCCTGGAACTGGAGTTACAGTTCTGGGCTGCCATGTGGGTGTAGCAAAGTACTACATGAGCTGTTGTAATATGTAATTCATCCACAAAGGTTAAAGCAATTCATGATGAAAAGCTTAATCTGTTATACTTACATTTTTACTCATTCTCATATACTTTCTTCTTTGCAGTTTTAAGATTTATTTCATTGTATGACTTTTCTTTTTTGATAAGTTTCTTAATTAAATAATTCATTTATATTTTATGTATGAGTTCTCTGCATATAAATCTGCATGTCAGAAGAGGGCATCACATTCTATTATATAGATATTTATGCGCCACCATGACGTTGTTGGGAATTGAATTCAGAACCTCTGAAAGAGCAGCCAGTGCTCTTAACCTCTGAGCCATCTCTCCAGCCTGGAATAAGTTTCTTTTGCCAGGTTTAAGGGAGGTGTTTTAGCAGTAAATTCTCTCTCTTTGTGTGTGTGTGTTATTTTTTCCTTTGAAGAATGTCTTGTGTCTTCACGTCCAACATGTACTTTCATCAGATATAAATTTCATGATTGAGAATTACTTTTTGTACTTGTAAGAATGGGTTTGTTCCAACAGAACTTCATGGTTTCAGATGAGAAATATGATGTCATTTAAAGTTGCCTTCTTTAATTGTTCAATATGCCATAAATTTCACTTGTCTCGGTGATTTTTCATTTTCTTAAGACTACAGAGGATTGATTGCCATGTATTCTAATATAAAGCACATTTGATTCTTACAGTTTATGGCATACTATCACTTTGAATTTGTAATTATGCCCACCATATATTGATCCTACTTTTAGTCATTTTTTTATTTCCTTAGAATCCCACATGTCTCTGCTTTGGAAATTTGAGTTGAAAAAGTCAGAGATTTCATTGTTATTATTATTATGGTCCCTAGGGGTTCTTGGTTTATTTTTGTTTTAAATGTGTATGCCCTCTATTTGACATATTGAGTGATTTATATTGATATTGATTTCACTTTCATCCATTATTTTGTCTATCTGATAATCTTTATTTTCTCCCATTTTAAAGTTCTCTTTAATCATTTTCCTTATTTATATATTGTTTGAAATTTTATACTCTTTCCTTTCCATCAAGAGTGCTTGCAATTCATTATTGAAAAATTTTTATGATTACTGTGGAAAATATCAAATAATTCTAACATGTGTAATATTAGTTTTCAATATCTGTATCTTTGGTTATTCAAGTTGTGATTAGTTTTCATTTCTATCCTGAGTATTTTGTGTATTATGGTATGATAAGTTGAATTCTATTTAATCTTCTCACTTTATAGATACTAATCCTGTTTAGGTGTTTCCTGAAATGGCTAGAGTTCAACAATATTTAACTGCTCTAGCTTTTATATGTCATAGAGTTGTGAGGCAGAAAACTGAATTGTATCAAATCACTAGAGTAGAGAGAAACTAATCCTCAGCTGGACCCTGCTGACATTATGTTGAGGGAGGAAAGAAAAACTGATTAAATTCCCTGATTGATTCCTTATTGGTGACAAGAAATGTAAAAGATCTGCTTTGTCCATCAGCCTTCTGCACCAATCTATCAGGGAATCATGATACTTCCCTGTTTCTTTCAGTCATAAGACAAGAAAATTCTCCCATATCAGCATCATTAATCGTATCCCAGGAGAGGAGTTGGAGTCCTATGTGCTTATCCTCTGAAAAGGATGGCGATTACTATGCTTTCTGTGATGATTAGTGTCAATTGTCAACTTGAAAAACTCCAGAAACACCTAGCAGTTAGGTTTCTAGGCATAGCTGTGGGGGTGTATGATTGTGTTCAGGTAGAAGGACCAGCTGATTCTGGGTGTTACCGCTCTGTAGACAGGCAATCCTGGACTATATAAGTGGAAGCAGGCAGCTAAGCAGGAGCTTGTATTTATCCTGCCTGGCTAGCTTACCCTATTCCATAACCAGAAAAGGGGGTCAGTTCTCCTGCTCTCACACCCTCGGGACTGAGTCACTCACACCTACAGCACCAGGGTCAGATATACTAAGCTGCCCAAGTATAGTACAGGGGCCGCTCAGCCCAGTGCTGCGGCTGGTGAGAGGCATGGCCAGTTCTCTTGTTCTACTGACCTCAGGGCCAGCTCTCTCACCTGCCACAGACACAAATGGTGTAATGGGGGACTTCTCTCCCTTACCCACACCACTGTCTGATAGATAAGGAGTGAGCCCAGATCTCTCCTGCTCATGTTCTCAGGACCAATGCACATCCCGAGCCCATCAATGGGGGTCAGCTCTCCTGAGCTGCCCAGGCAAGGTGCAGGGACCTTTCCCCTGTGCTGTGGCTGGGGGGGCAGGTTCAGCGCTCCTGCCTGGAGCAGGTGGTGAAGGGTGTAGGGAGGGTGAGGGCATCTTCCCCCATCATTAGCCCTGCAGGCCAGACAAATGGGGTGGGCCCAGTTCTCTTTTCACACCTTCAGGGTTAGCTTACTACTGGCCCCACCAACAGGGTCAACTCTACTGTGCTGTCCAGGACTGGTGCAGTGCTTACTCCCCTGAGAACTGAGGCTGGTGGAGGGCAGGATCTCCTGCCCACTGCAGGAAGTGGTGAGTGGAGAGTTGGAGAGGGCATCTTTTTTCCTCCCTTGCCACCATATGAAAGACAGGGATGTGTGACCAACTCTCCCACTCTCAGAAACGCAGGGCAGGCTTAAATGCACCCCAGTCAACAGGATCAGCTCTGTTGTGCTGCCCAAATGAGGTGCAAGATCTGTTCTCCCATTCTCAGCTTTCCCACCTGCCACAGGCAATGAGGGGTGAGGGAGCCATCTATCCCTCACCCATGCCACCATATGGAAGATGAGGGGCAGGGCCAGATTCCCTATGCTCAAGTTCTTGGGTTCTTGGGTCCAGTTCACCTGGGAGGTATATGTATGTTTCTCTCTCTCTCTCTCTCTCTCTCTCTCTCTCTCTCTCTCTCTCTCTCTCTCTCTCTCTCTCTCTCTCTCTCCCTTTTGTCTTAATGTCTGTCTGTCTCTCACCATCTGGCATATTTAGGAAACACTACAAGGAAAAAGTTGCTTAACACCTTGACATTCCTCAAGATCCTAGTTCCTTAGGCAAACCATCTTTATTATTTCTCTTTTCAGAAAATTATTTTTCTACTAGGTCTATGGACTTTTAGTTGTAGTAGGGATTATCTGGGAGTGATGAGGCTATGTCTTGCGTGCGAATTGTGTGGACCATGATCATACTAAGAGTGAAATACCATAGCATATGGTCCTCAGCATGAAAGTCTCTAGGGGCAACATAGGACTCTAAGGTATTTTCAAGAAATTATTTATTCTATTCTGAATAACATGAAATAAATGATGAACATATATGAACTGGGAAAATAATAAAGATTTCTAGAAGCTGATATGATATATATGTATATATAAAAATAATCTCTATATGGAATGATTCTGTCACTATTTTCAATAACAAATAGTGAGAAAGTTAGTCAATGATTTAATTGTGAGAGCATGCATTAAATTTTGTATAAAAGTTATGGAAAGGGATAGCTCCATTGGTAAAGCGTTTGCTTTACAAGCACAAGAGGTCATGTTTGATCACTAAAACCCATGTTTTGTTTGTTTTTTAATTCAGGATCATTGCTATATATTTGTAATCACAACATTGATGATACGGAAATAATCAGATCAGTGGAGCCTTACTGTCCATGTAGCCTAGGCTACTAGGCAAATTCAAGATAATAAGTCCTCTTATATCAAGAAAAGGTAAATAATCACATCCTGTTTGCAAGACATAAATAAATCATACTAGAGCTTAGCTAGAAGCTTCCTTCCTCTTGGCTAGCTTTCATAGTGCTATTCATATTCATATCAATATTTGTATATCCAGGTATGATATTGGAATTAAACAGGAATTAAATATCTGTAATTCCAATGATTATGAGACTGACAGATAAGGAATGCCTGGAGTTTGAAGCCAGCTTGGGCTGAACAGTGAGTTCTGGGCTAGCCTGGGCTACAGGATGAGGCCCTACCTTATGTAAAACACAAGAGGGTTTGGAATATAGCTCAGTGTTAGAGCATTTGTCTAGCATTCATGCAGCACTAGGTTGTAGTTGTAGCATTGCAGATAGAGAGACAGAGACAGAGACAGATCAAACCTGGGACATGTTAACCATTTACACTCCTAAAGAAAGTAAGGTTAATATGATAATCTCATATGAATCAGAACCCACAAAGGGCAACTAGGGGAACAGAGACTCATATGAATATCACACTAGGTAAAATAGGGAATATAGAATTCATTTCAATATAGAAGAAATTTATTTAATTTAATAAGAACACATGAAACTAACAGAATTTAGAGACTTCTACAACCCTATATCTTCAAAGAACTGAATTTCTTGTGAGTTTTCCATCGTTACAGGTAAAAAACATAGAAATGGGCAAAATCTTAAATGCTTTTACCAAATAGAGTACACAGCAAAAAGTTCATGTGCAAAGTTTTTCTTTTCTCTCTAGAATGGCATTTAAGACCTTTCACAACAAATACTATCTACTTTTACAAGTTTATCTCCAATGACTCTGTTTTGAACTGGTGATATTGTCTTAACCTTATTATACCAGTTCATGATGTCCAAAAAGAATATGAAATCCTAATTATGAAGAGATTTCCAAAAAGAACTTTCTTTGAGACGATGCTATTAATTGAACGAGAATATATGTTTGTTAAAATAACAAATTCCATAGAGTTTTAGACTTTTATATTTGTGAGCAAAGAATGTTATCAGTGGCCTCTTTGTAGTTTTTAGAGCAATTTTATAAATATGCTCCTTAGGAACAAAGAGATAACCTTTAAAGCATTATTTTAAGGCAAGATGTTATTGATGCAATAAACCAAATCAAACTGAATCAATAAACACAGGGCAATGCAGAGCAGAGAACTCCCAGGTGGCCCTCAGTAAGACAGGGTGAGATTTTAAGCACAAAAACCATGCTCTTGGCTGACATACTTCAGTTAACAATAACAGTTAGAAGTGGAACTACAGAAGCCCAAAAGTAAGGTTAGCACTTTCAGAGACTTTCCAGGATGGAGTAGGTCTTTGTTTTCATTTTGGCAGATGGTACTCTCTACATGCTGAGTTTCATGGCCGGAATGGTACTTCCATCATAAAGTCAGTTTTGTTAAAGTCTTAGGGCCTTCTAAGGCTGGGACCTTGTTACCTTCCCCACTGGTCTTAGTGAATGAGTCATCCTGCTCTAAAGAGGTGTAGTTGGTCCTAAGGAACATTAATTTCACTGAACTCATACCTAATTGGCCAAATAATTTAAGATGCAAGAGCTAGCTGCTAATCAGAATGAGAATTAATGGCCCAGTCAGGACTGACATCCAAGAGGACCAAAAGTACAGAGATTGGTACCAATTATCTTATTTATTTCTTTTTCTCTCATTTTTGAGTTTTTTACCTAACTTTGGCAAGACATTTTTATTACTCCTGATAAATTAGCAGAGAAACAATACGTCTCTCCCAAAGCCTGACATATTTTCCTTTATCTCATGAGAAATAAGTCTAAGGCTCTCCTCCAATTTTGTATAATCATTCCTGCGAAGAACCCTTAACTGTTGTTTTAATAGCTCTAGGTCTAGATCCACCCATCTGCTTAGCCTGCAAAACATCAGAAGAGGCAAATTTAGTGAAAACATCAGAAAGTGCCCCACCAAGTAGTCTCAGGGGCTCAGTAATATTGTTGTTATCCAGATGAATTACCTGGTAAGTCAGAATAGAATAGCAGGCATCTATCTTGTTTATTAGACAAGTTTCAGTCCCTTATAGGTCCCTAAATATTAATCTGAGTAACCAAATTGATGGCAGAGGCAGTGGGTTTCTAAAACCAGACTTAAGGGTGGGCCAGGAGTGTGGCCTGGTACTGGGTCACTCAGTCATTAGATAGCCAGTGCTCTAGTGCTCCTAGGAAGAGGGCCTCAAACATGTCAGGGGATGCTATACATATACAGTCTTGACCCAGAGCTAATTGTTTCTGTTTCTTTTTTTGCTTGCTTCCTTTTTCATTTGCCTAGCAGTAGCTGTCGCATCTTTTAGACAGGTGGGCCATCCTGTGGCTACAGAGTCCAATCATCCGGCCAAGTATATCACAGGGCGTTTCCATGGACCCAAACTTTGGGTTAAAACCTCTTTTGCAAAATCTTTTGTTTTGTGTACAAACAGATGAAAATGTTTTGAGACATTTGGAAGTGCTAGGACTGGAGTCAATGTCAGATCTGTTTTTCAAGCCTCAAATGTCTTTTGTTTAGTCTCAGTCCAGGTTAGGGTCTCAGTGCCCTCTCTGTGCTGGTGTATAGAGGTTTTGCTATTTCCATAAACTCTGGTATCCAGGGAGAGCAATAGCCAGCTATACCTTGTTACTCATGAACCTGTCTCTTAGACTTTGGAGTTGGTATCTGAAGGATGGCAGCAATCCTACTCTGAGACATGCTCCTCTCTTCAGCACGTAGCCAAGACAGGCAGCCTTCTACAAATTTGGGCTTTTGTAACTGACATTTTGTAGCCCAAGGTCTGTAACTCATGCAGCAGTCCCTCAGTGGGCCTTCTATAATCTATTTTTCCAGGAAACATCTCATGGAAGGGCAGGAAGTCAGCATCTAATACCTTTAAATCCTGGGACAGCCTGATCAGATATGTTGCCCACTGTAACCTCCTTTTGGGTCTGTCCATTTTAAAGAAAAGATGGGTTGGCTCATCTCTGCCTATGGGAAGCAGAAAATGCATCTTTCAAGTCCAAGACAGTGTACGCCTATTTCTCTGGAAGAATCAGACTTATGTGAATCGAAGGTCCCAGGTGTCTTCACATGCAGGAGAACTGTATTCCAGGGTGACTGGCAGGGGACTAGGATGTCTGTCTCTTTGGGACAGGCAATATTGACTGAAAATTCCCCGTTTGTGTCCAGGGTCACTGGGTATTGATTAACCTGGAAGTGGGTAGCTGAATGGGCCAGTCCTGGGGGTCGGTTCCTTCTGACAGAGGGTGAGACACCAATGTTTTGGGGGAGTATCTATAAGTCTAAATGTGTCTCACCATCAGAGAAGGTGACAGTGGCTTTTCAATTTATGCAAAAAATCTTGTTCCAAACAGTTCTCTGTTGTTAATTTTTAAATTTATTTATACTCTTATATTTCATTTTACTTTCCAACCACAGTTCTTCCTCCCACCCCTCCTCCAGGCTCCCCATTTGCCTTCCCGCAGCCCATGCCCAGTCCATTCTTCCTCAGGTGTAAGGGCTCCCATGAGGAGTCAAGAAAGTCTGATACAATAGGTTGGGGCAGGACCAAGCCCCTCTCACATGTATTAAGGCCAAGCCTGGAATCCCACCATAGGGAATGGGCTCCAGTAAACTAAGTCATGTACCAGCTTTGTATCATGGTCTTACAACCAGGTGCCTCTCAGATATCCCAGGCTTAACAACTGTCTCCCACATATGTAGGGCCTAGTTCAGTTCCCTGGAGTCGCCACAGCTGTCTGTCTAGAGTTCATGCATTTCCATGAGTTTGGTTCAGTTCTCTGTGTAGATTTCTCCATCATGACCTTAACCTCCCTTGTTCATATATTCCTTCCTATCTCTCTTTGAATTTATTCTAATCTTTTTAGCAGTTATCTTTAATCACTTAAAAGGACCTAGCAAAAGTTGTTTAAAGTTTCCTTTATCAATATTCCACAAAAGTGAAAATCTGTTCATTCTTTCCAGGCTGCATTGCCTAGCAAGGATCCCCTTTTCCTGTCCATGGTTTTTTGTTGTTGTTTGTTTTGGGGGTTTGAGGGTTTGTTTTATTTATTTTTACCTTTTTTAGAGAATAGTGGATTTTATGGATCTCTGGTTTAAAAAGACACATAAATCATGAAAGAAAAAGGAGTGAAACTTTCTCTTTACCTTTGAGTTCAACACAAGGGAAATTTTCCTATTTCCAGGGGCTAATTAGAGCAGGCACAGAGCTGAGGGAATGCTCATTTGGGGAAACTGTTTCCCTCTCCCTGTGTACATTCCACTTCGATGGCTGAGGGTCCTGGATGAGAGGCATGGCCCCTCCTACCTCCCCATAGGGACCAAACCTGACTGTGAGCAGGAGTCAAGCAACAAAACAAGCAAGCACTCCTGCTCCAGGATTGAGATAAGTGGAGATTGGGGCAGGGTTCTCTGGATGACCAGGCAGAGCCGAAAGGATTTGGGGTCCTAAAAAGGAAGGTGTACAGATGTTGAGTACGTGGAAGGTGTCACACCAAAGTAAGTCATTGGTCAATATAGGGAAACAGAGTGTACAGAAACATACACGCGTACACACACACACACAGAGAGAGAGAGAGAGAGAGAGAGAGAGAGAGAGAGAGAGAGAGAGAGAGAGAGAGAGAGGAAAGGAGAAGAAGAGTGAACATCATTCATATCATTCATTCATATACCTGAATAGAGAGAGGGATCCAGTGACATCTCACATGGATCCATGACACTGAATTCGCAGCCATGTCCCACCTCTCTCCTATGTGTCCAAACAGAAGGCGCCTTAACCAGACTCACCTCTGGAAGTGAGAGACCAGATGACTTTCTAATATGTTTCCTTTTAGGGTGGAGGTATCAGACCCTTCTGAAGCGTTAGGTGGTGAATAAGCATAGGTAGTCCTGGGGACCTGGAACATCTCAGGTTATAAGCCTCTTAGAAGTTCCCTGACCATTGTACTCTTCCTTACTTCAAAGAGTTCTGAGACCCCTGTTGTCTCAAACTCTGATATCTGGGATCTTGGTGGATCTTCCAGAGATATTATGGGGTATTCACAAGAGAAGCCTTCTCAGACATAGGTTAAAAAAAGAGTATGAAGTTTTTATTAGCTGCCCTCGACTACACTGAGTGTTCAGGATCCCAGTGTAGCACTCTGCACAAAAACTACATCTTGGGTTGACACACTTCAGCTAACAAAAACAGTTAGCCAGAAGCCGAACTACAGAAGCTGAAAAGAATTTAGAAACTTTCTCAGAACTATGGAACTTGATGGATTAGGTCTTTGTTTCATTTTTGCCAGGGGGTACTATCTACATGCTGAGTTTTATAGCCTGATTAGTATTTCCACCATGGAGTGTGTTATGTTAAGCTCTGGGGCCCTGTTACATTTTTCATTGGAATATGGAAGGAGTACTTTCTAATACCAGTGGATGGATGCTTTAAACAGCAGAATAAATGAACATTTTAGAGAGAATGAAGACAGCAGGGGGAAAATGCTTCCTTTTTCCGTGTTCTTTTATGTGGGTTACCACTAGAAGGTATTGCCCAGATTTAAGGTGGATCTTCATATGCAAAATGATCCAATCAAGAAAATCCCTCACAGGCCTGCACAGATGTTTAAATTTTAGATGAATCCCTTAACAACCAAAATTAGTCATCTCATTTCCATCCCTTGTCAACCTGACACATCACCACATCTCTCTATGCTTAATTTCCAAATTAAAACAGAGTCCAGTTCATAATATCACCTAACATGATATAGCTATCACATGTACAACCACAAATGCATTAAATTTTAAATAGCGACAATTCCCCCTTTAGAAATGCTCAGTCTTTTAATGACTTTTAACTTAAATATGATAGTAACCACTGATATTATCTCAATCTATGTTATACTACATGATAAAGAAATGGAGCACAAATATTTGCTTAATGTGGTCTTGACAAAATAAGACAAACATGACAATTGCAATTCTGTTGTTTTTTTTTTTTTTGGTTTCTCAGTATTGTCTTGGAGGCTGCCCTGGAACTTGCTCTGTAGACCAGGTTGGCCTCAAAGTCACAGAGATCTGCCTACCTCTGCCTCCTGAGTGCTGGGATTAAAGGCAAATGCCACCAATGCCCACTGACAATTGCAATTCTTGTTTCTGTAGTTGGTCACATGGCCTTACCTGATTTTAAAACTATCTTCTTCTACTACCCCTTCTGTATTTCCTCTACACTCAGCAAGAACCTCAGCAGGTCTTGGCTCTTTTCCTAGGAAAGTGACCCATACCTTTATTCCTGAAGGGTCTGGGTCATGTTTGTTAGGTGGAAATATGACATGGATACTCTTTTCATTTGGAAATTAGACATGATCCTTAGTTATCCTGCCAGGACTAGGCTGTTGTTGTTTTCCATTAACTTTAATCACAGGACAAGATAACACCAAGAGATGCCCTAAAGTATCTCCTGCGCACCAAACATCATCTTTCTTACCTCCATTGTGGAGAAACACTTCTCTGATTGTGACATCAATGCCTTGATCCGAAGAAATACTATGTGGAATACTGTGCAGATGCATAAGTCCAACAGATGATACTTTTGGAAGAAGCATGACACACAAGGAAAGGCAAATCTATAACCAGAAGAACCTATTCTATTAAGATGAAGTATAGCTCATTCCAACAAGAAACTGGTTCAATGTAGTCAACCTGAAACTGGGTCACTGACTGGGTACCCTGAATAATGATGCCAATTTCTTTTTAATAGAAAGTTATAGTTAAGAAATTGCCTTGAGTCTCAATAAAACACAGACTTTGAATTTTAAAGTAATGTTGGAATTCCTGAAGAGTATGAGAACTTTTGAAGCGGGACTGAATGAATGCATTTTTTATTATAAGACAGCCATGAACTTAGAGGAACAAAGGGTAACAGTTTATTCCT